TTCGATATCAGTGTGTTTCTGCGATCTTAATTAAACATACTGATATCGAAGGAACCAGACTGAGTTTCCAAATATAACCCACTCGAACAGTGACCTCGTAGCTCAGTTGGTAGAGGTGATTGGACTAGCATACCAAAGGTCGCGGGTTCGATTCCCACCGCGGTCAGGCAAACTTTTCAGCTTGCCCGGTGTGGAGACATTCACAGACAACCTGATGTCATCACAAACATAAACTGTATCTTCACCAGACACCAGAAGGAGAAAAAATGACACCAGAAGCAAAAAAAAAATAATACATATTTTCTCTACCACAAATTTCCCTTGCGTAAACGAAACTGTCCATAATCTAATCACCATCTACCACAAGTCATGCCCGTGACGTTCTTATGTGGGATTAGATGTTGCCAGCATTACAATGCAAAATTCATATCCAATAACGTTTCCATACTAGTATGAAAACGTTATTTCTATGCTAGAGCGTCTGCATTGTAGTTTGTAAAGTCAATTGCCAACCGTGTATCAAATACATATCCCATTATCGATAAAATAATAATAGTGAATGTTAGGTATTGTTTCACATTTTCCTGTTTATATCATTTCGCTTATCGGGATAGGACTGCTACCGGATGAACATTTCCGTATGTTGGCGCGATCACAAATTAGGGGTGAACTAATTTAGTCGGCAAAGGTATATCAAATCAGAAGTAGTCAGAAACTATTGTATAATAAAGTCAGAATTATTGTAATATAGTCGGCAAAGTTATATAGTATTAGTATACCAGATCAGAAATTAGGGGTGAACTAATATAGTCGGCAAAGTTAAGAAAAGCCTTAAGGCCGCAAAACAATATATTTAGGTGAATCAAGATAATTAAGAACAACCTCTTACCAAGGCTATTACCTTCGCGCGTGTGAAGGTAAGAGCCTGGGTATGAGGTTGAATTAAGAACGCTTTAAAATTAATTTAAACTTACAATCTGAGCCTTATTTTGTTTCAAATAAGAGTTGAGTAAACCTTCGCACGGGCGAAGGTAAGAGCCTGGGTACGAGGTTGAATTTAAAAGAGTTAAACTTACAATTTGAGCCTTATTTTCTTTCAAACTAGATCAAGTAAAGCGAAACTAAAAGCGCGCCAAAACTATAATTAGCGCTTGTAAAACTTATGCAAAGCTCTGGCAACGTATTTAACACACTTGTAAAAATTGTTATAGAAACACACTAACGGCCTGGGACCGGTTGTACAAAGGGCGTTGTGAAAACCCGGAATGCCGGAATATCACGGAATATGGCGGAATATCACGACATTTTCCCGGAATATACCGGAACATCACAATATTTTCCGATGGTAGCCATGCGACTGTTTATAAACATGGACGTCTGACAACATATTTTATTACAAAAGTGATGGATCCTTCCCATTTTGACGGTAATTAAGTAACAAACAATAACTCCATACTGGAAGTTTTATATCATGTTCATAACATTATTACGAGTGTTCACCAGAAATTTTGAATCAATACGATTAATTCCTCCTGTCAGTCCTGAGTTACAGCGTCTTGAAAAACAAATGTGCTGACCTCAGCATTATTTTCGAACGCCTTCAGAACTGTGTTATACACAAAATTTAGTTACAATTGACCATTTTATACCACCAAACATTTATCCAAAAATCAAAAGCTAAAATTAAGGCAACTTTTCAAGAGCCAGTTGTTTAACTTGTTTATATCAGGTAAGAAGTCTTATTAAACCTTAACCAATAATTTTTAACTAAATTTTGTCTATAAAAGGCTCGTTCACACTCGCAATTTTTACTGCGATTTTCGTCTTCTGATGCATGTAAACGAGTGGATAAGTTATGAATGCTCTGATGAAGGTACATGTATTCCCAACATTCATACCTCATCTACTTGTTCACATGCATTAGAAGGAAGAATTCGCTGTAGAAATCGCAGCAAAAATTTCAAGTGTAAACGGGCCTTAACACAGTTCTGAAGGCGTTCGAAAATATGCTGACGTCAGCACTTTTGTTTTTCAAGACGCTGTAACTCAGGAGGAATTAATCATATTGATTCACAATTTTTGATCAACACTAATAATAATATAAACAACATATAAACCTTCCAGTATATATATAGTTATTGTTTGTTACTTACCGTCAAAATGGGAAGGATCCATCACTTTTGTAATAAAATATGTTGTCAGACGTCCATGTTTATATTAGAACAGTCGCATGGCTACCATCGGAAAATATTGTGATGTTCCGATATATTCCGGGAAAATGTCGTGTCGTGATATTCCGTGATATTCCGCCATATTCCGTGATATTCCGCCATATTCCGTGATATTCCGGCATTCCGGGTTTTCACAACGCCGGTTGTAGAAAGGCCGGATAATGCTATACGATTAGCCTAATGTACATGTCCCGACTCAATCCAGGGTTAGTTTTAACATAGTGATTTTCATTGCTAGTCTAGATTGAATATATAATAGATTTATTAATTGGCTCAGTGATTTTCAAATAGTCAGTCAATGTTGTTAGTTCGTCAGTATACTAATTGAAATAATTTATATATGTATGTATGGGAATAATATATACAATATAGAAATTATTAAGTACTATTTACAACATGAAATGTTACCGACACGGAAATGTTGCCGCCGGTGTTGTATCCGATATACATGCAACAAATGGCTAGTTGTGTATCGTCTTGATGAGAGCATTCGTATTCTTCTGAACAATTTAAAATAAATTAATGATATTTGGTGAGAAATATCTCCTTTACGATCATGATTTCTTTTGTGTTTTCTCATGAATTATTAATCAGTTTCACAACATGTCTCGCATTGATTTTGACGTGTTCTTCGACTTCGTTTGAACGTAATAAATCTACTGAATTCATTTTCCTTATAGACAGGTTAAAATAAGTAAGAAATGTTCGTCCTATAGGCGTAGAGCGTTTGGCTATAGTTTCTTCCTTTTACATAAAAATATTATAAATATAACCATTTATCTAGAATTTAGTAGTTGTTGAGTGTATAGTTGAGCCCTTAAGCTTAGCCCTTAACCTTAGTCCTTGTTTTTTGTCACAACTATTTGTGTTTGAAATAAAGTTGTTTAATTTGAAATGTATTGGTTGCCATGGTTGATTCAATACAGTCCATACAGTCTCGGGTTATTAAGCAAGCGTGGACGACCTATACTTATTATTGGCACTATAACCAGCTATATGTTAAAACGATTGTGCTTATAATCTTGCTGATTCATTTGATATTACGTTTCACTTACAAGATCATATCCTAAGTAGTTTGTTTTTAGAAAATGTCCTTCGTCATAGGTTTTCTAGTACGTCACCAGGTAATTGGTAGAACTAATTTTGGCGGCATTTTTGCATCATAGCACTCGTATTAGGAAGCAAAAACTTCTCTTTTGTCATATGTGTTGAAGATTACCACAAACTGATCGCACAGTCACAGTTTTTAATCCAGTCCTCCCTCGGTAATCTGATGTCCGTGTTGACGAAGACGTCGCTTGTTTAAGGTTACATCATATGATAGATTCCTGTTTCAGAAAAATTGTCACTGCGTGCTCAATTTTTTAGTTACGTTCCTCAAATTTGGTACATGCAATGATAACTAACTGTATAAGCTACTGTTTTAACCAAAATTCACCACCTTTTAACCTGTAGTCGCAATGAGACATCTTTTGACGCAAACGCAGTAGAAAAGTCACCGAAGTCGACATCACACATAGCTCGAACTTCGAGAGATTCTGTAAATACTATATTGTTTCGCAATGATATATGCCTCCGAACAATAACAAACAGCTTATACTTCAGTGAATTTCACACCTTGACATTTGACGCCAGCAAAGTTCAATCATAATTACAAGTTTCGCGCAAAGCTATTCAATGGTCATAGCATTTTCCCCTATATCTCGGTCGCTTTTTAACATATTCTTAAAAAAGTTGCTGGAATTGAGAGATATATCATTACTTAATATGAATATATAAAAAAACAAATTTGGACAAAATCAGAGTTTCATCATATAATGTAACCTTAAGCTCCCTATTAACTTCCTATAAGGGATAAATCGAATAAATGAATGTTTTATTTTCTGGACTATTTCTATATCATATATGTATAGAGAATCGGTTCCTATACATGCCGGTATGGAGAATTTATGGACAGGCTGAAACAACATAACCTTACTGATTATATTTTGGCTCACGTACAAGGTCGTCCGTAGTCTACGTAATATAGGCTCTAGCTTGATCCCACTAAGAACATCAGATGTTTCCAGAGAATGTCCTATGTCATCATTTAATGAGTTTTATAATGACGTCATAAAGAAATAAGCCGAATACTTTTTTTCTTGGAACGTTAATTAGAAGCCATTTCGAGCTATTTTTTTTCAAAATATTGTATTTTTGTATTTTTTTAAATTTTGTAAAAAAATTTCTGGAAATCTTTTCTTTATTCTCCACGTCTTACCCACGAAACAATTAAGGCACTCGACGTCCTTTATAATGTATTTTAAATACAACCATGTGTCTAGCATTCTAGCTAGAATTTAGTAGTTGTTGAGTGTAGTTGAGATAGACCTTAGTCCTTGTCTTTTTTTCATAACATGCATTTGAAATAAAGTTATTGGTAGCGACGGTCGTTGCTATAGTCCATACAGTCCCAGGTTAGACAAGCCTGGAAGACCTATATAGACGTCGTGAGGTTTCCACAACAGTCAACGTACGGTTACCAGCGGTTACCAGTGCTTCTAATTCTGCTGATTCATTTGTGGTTTACCTTCTGCTTCTAATCCTGTTGATGTGGTTTACCAGAAACAATAAAACAATTATCAGCAACAAAATTATCAGCAACATGCTGTCGACACCCGCCTGCACCTGTAGGTGTCAACGTGCGTCAAAGCTCACGCAAGATACTAGACTATCGAATTTCCACTCGTATAAAAGGACCCGACCTTTGGCAACTTTTTACATTGTTGTTTGGATTTCTCAAGACCAGCCATGAAATTTCTCATAGTTGTCACGCTTTTCGCTTGCGTATTGGTTTGCGCAAATGCGCAATTGATACAGAGCATTGATGATGTCCCACTTCCCGACGAAGTTTTTCCAATCGAGGAAGGGTCAGGCGAACCAGACGTAGATGAGCCAGCTACAGAAGACAACGAAGATGGCAATGATGAGGTATTTATTAACTTAATTCTTGTAATGCATGTTCGAACACGAGCTCGACATTTGAATAATTAAACTATAAGGTGTAATGTCATGCAAATTCTATTATCGGTAATCACAGTAACACTGGAAATTGAAGTCTTGACTGAATACTTAACAATGGTAGTCCATCTGGTTAATGGTTTTTGTGCCAAAAACAATAAGGCCAATGAAAATTGATATCATGTTTCTCGTCCACGATTTTCAAAAATTTGGAGCCGGATTTTTTTCATTTTTCATTATTTTTTGTATTTGAATTCTGCTTGTCAATAATTTCCTTGACCCAGTAAAAAAACCCATAAAAATCTGAAGTAAATCGGTGTATAATTCATTTTAATTTAATACGTCCTACTCTACGGTATATTTATATACATACCAGGGCTGACATGAAAAATAGAGGCATATTCTTGCGAGTAGAATTAGAAAGATACAATTTGAGTTGCGCTTGCGGAATGCAGCAATAAGACTTTGATTTGGAGATCAATTTGGTGCCTTGTTAAGCCTATTTTTCAAAAATAATGAATAATGAAAAATTTTCATGCGGCAGATAAATCCCATGCGGGCGGGGACGAGAAACATGATATCAATTTTCATTGGCCTAAGATTGATTCATTCTTAAACAAAAGTTTTATCCATTTGAAGGAAGTCTTTTTCATAACTGCAAAAAGTGTTTGAATAGTTTCATTATTGATTACCTAGACTGGTAAGGATGATTTCGATGATGATGACGACGATGATGATGATGATGATGATGATGAAGAAGATGGTGTTTATAAGTATAATTATTATGGCAGTAGACGTGGTCGACGAAATCGTGGGGGAAGATATCGGAGAGGAGGACGTGGATGGGGACGTCGCCGAGGACATCGCCGAGGGCAGAAAAGTGGATGGGTTGGTATAATAAATAACTTATTTATCAGACAACAGGATATTAATTAATATATATACATAAGAAAAAACACAACATTTTGTTGTCAAAATAAAGTTGACCAGATTTAATAGACCTTTCCCCTTTTGAGTGAAATTTTGATCTAGATATGCCGGCTGGACAAAAATTTCATCACAGCTTGAAAGAGCATCACAGAATTAGTAATATTCCGAAGTTTCGTTGCGAAATGTTGTAAAATGCGGATAATATAGCCTTGCGAAGTTTGCCGTTTTTCAGTCATTTTGCATTACAAACGGGAAATTGATAATCAGTTTGATCATCTGATTATCAATTTCCCGTCTGTAATGCAAAATGACTGAAAAACGGCAAACTTCGCAAGGCATATTTATCCGCATCTTACAACATTTCGCAACGGAATATTACACTAATTTTGTGATGCTCTTTCAAGCTGTGATGAAATTTTTGTCCAGCCGGCATATCTAGATCAAAATTTCACTCATGCATAAGGGGAAAGAAAGGTCTTATTGTATTAGAAACTCAGGGTGAGCATCAAAATTGTTTTACAGCAAAAGTGCTACGATTCTTTCATCAAATGTGAGAATGGTACTACTTTTACCCGAGATGAATGCACGACGAAATTAAAAGATTGCCTTGAAGATTACAGCAAGGTATGTTCAGCTTTTCTTACTGAGATTAGTGGCAGACACATATATGGGAACGATCGGCTAGCCCCACAAGGTTTTTTAATGTCACAGATAAAATATTACTATATGGCAGTATATATGTTGCATCATGCATGTAACGAAGTTTCTTAGACCATGAAAGTCTTAATGTTGAGGACGGGAATATAAGCAACTTAAGTCGAGCTAAATTAAAGTTACGACTTGGTCAACGAGGAATAATCCTTTCCTTGCATGGAGTACTAGCTGTGTCAAAAGATTGTATTTAAACTATACATATATAAATATGCTTGTTGAATGTGAAAATGATGATTGTGGATTTTTATTGATGTAGAATCACACCATGAGGAATACCACTTTGGGCTTGGCTATTCGAAATTGCTGGGTATGTGTAAATTTATTTGAAACTTGTATTGTCAGCTCAGAGTCATATTTTCAACTTTATAGATTAGTTGTAGAGGAAGCGGGTTTGATAACACGGGGCCGGGGACAGGTTTTAGGGGTTGGTTTGGGGGACCTTTAGAAGTTCATAAGGAAGACACTTCCAGGCGAATACTACATGCATGCATGTGATCACACGAAGTCAGACATTTCTTGTTACGGCGTCAGTGTTGGTACTATAACCGTAATGTGTTTTTTTTTACAGAAAAACTGCACGCTGCAATTGTTTAATTGTTTGAAGAACACGGGTACGAGTGTCACTGTGTGTTTGAAGGAGAAGGATGTTTGTGGGACGCAATGCAGGGTGAGACTTCTTCTTTGATGTCAAACTTTGTCTTGTTGTCGATGATATACTTGACTATATTTCCCTGACATCTATGACTATATATATGTACTAGTTGCAACACGAGCGACCGTGCATGTTGTATCGGATATACAAACTTGAGCTGAATCCCGGCTTGTATATCCGATACAACACGAAACACAATTTAAATAAAATAGTAAATGAATGATATTTGATGAGAATATTAAACAGTTTTAAAGTTTATGTAAACTTCTGCATGATTTTGTATCAGACATACAAAAATCCTTCACGGTCATGATTTCTTTCATGGTTTCTTCATGAACTATTAATGATTTCACAAAATTATATAGGAATTTCCCACATGCAAACCACAAACTGCATATCATTTATGTGATTAACCATATGCATCTGCATTGCAAGATATCACTGAATGTTTGTCAACCTGTAGTGTACAGTAGCAATTCTTTTTTGATATGTTTACATGGGATTTAAACGATTATTTATTCATTTTGAAATCATTTTTTTTATTTATTTTGAATTTAATTTCAAACATATAAATTATATATAGAGCATACAGTATTTTATATTCAAAATATTAACAAAATCAGTACTTAGTACATTATAGTAATTAAGCATATACGCCTCATGTATTCTAAAAGCTCACTCACAATCACACTCAAAGAGTGGAGGTTCAATCTGAGCTTCCTTTGAGTGTCAATGCCGTTTTTGAATAGCTGGAGGGCGAGTAGTCACATATAGTAAGGTACATCACTAAAACCTGTATTCTAAAAGCTCACTCGCACTCAAAGAGTGGAGTTTCAATCTGAGCTTCCCTTGAGTGTCAATGCCGTTTTTGAATAGCTGGAGGGCGAGTAGTCACATATAGTAAGGTACATCACTAAAACCTGTATTCTAAAAGCTCACTCACACTCAAAGAGTGGAGTTTCAATCTGAGCTTCCCTTGAGTGTCAATGCCGTTTTTGAATAGCTGGAGGGCGAGTAGTCACATATAGTAAGGTACATCACTAAAACCTGTATTCTAAAAGCTCACTCACACTCAAAGACTGGAGTTTCAATCTGAGCTTCCCTTGAGTGTCAATGCTGTTTTTGAATAGCTGGAGGGTTAGTATCGTACCCGTTACTATGTGACTACTCACTCAGTCCAGCTATTCAAAATTTAAAACAGCGCTGACCGGACTCAAGGGGGAAGTTCAGATTGAACCTCCATTCTTTGAGTGTGAGTGAGCTTTTAATTGAATACAGGCGATTGTCCTGCAGATTCGTGAAACAATTATCGGTTTAAATTTAAAAGAATCAGTAAAATTTAGTACCTCCATAGGCAGCCCAAAAGTGCGTGTTGAAATTTTTACCCTCGCGCATGGCGCTCGGGCATGCATCGAGTCTACTCAGTTTATTATTATGAATTTATGTATATCTATATTTTAGAGTTTAATAACCACTGTCGGCCATCGTGGCCGTTATGGCTACAGACGTTCCAGAAGACAAGGAAAACGAAACCGAAACCGTTCCATCCGTACCGGATAAATCAAGTGAGGTAAATTCTCACATTTATGGAATAAGTTCACAGGAACTCGTTTCATTTGTTCAGTACACAAAATCGTCCTGTTTCATGCTCCTTTGTAAAGCCGTAAAGAGTCATACGAGCAACAACAACTTGCAGCAACTTGCAATAAAATCTTATTTCAACGCATGTTATAATTGAAATGTTCACACAGACGTTGCAACACCCAAGACAACATTAGTACAAATTTCCAATTAACATGCGTTGAAATCAGGTTTTATTGCAAGTTGCTGCAATTTTGTTGTTCGTATTACTTTACCTTAAAGACAAGCCGAAATCATGAATATTTACAGGTAGGTGCCATAACCAGAAATTTCAGAAGAAAATGGGCCCCGATTTTTTAAATAAATTAGCTGTGATTTTCACTGCAATTTACTACGTGGGCAGAAATTAGAAAAAACAAAAATGGCACGTGTATAAAAATTGCATGCATGCATTAATATAAATAGAAGTATGCATTAATAATGATAAATAATTAGTATACAAAGCATGTTACCAAACCTGTCAGTTCAAAGTGTAAAAATTTTCCAACTATTTAAATATCTTATTTTTATCTTTCCAGGTTACTAAGATAAAACCATATGGAGAGAAGAATGAAAGTAAATAAGCGGCCTTTTATATTAATAAATCAACGATTATATACTCTACTGTATAGACTAGAATATCAAATTATAGGGTTGTATAGGGTTGTACTAAATAAAATTCATTATGCTCACTAAACCCGTGTTGCGTTCTTTTTTCCTACATGCATGAAAGTCTATTTTCACAACTTTATCCTGCAAGGAATACCGTCTATATATTACCTATTCTGGATTCATGCAGATATACAGCCAATTCAAAAAAGGTTGTCCTTTGCAAACCTATGGGAGCCATTCCTTCTTGTTTACAGAGGCGCCGAATATTCATATATTCGTGTTCACAGACTGTAAAAGCAATCGATTTCAAAAGAAATTAATTGGGCAGAACACGAATATATGAATATCTGCCCCCCCTACCTACCTACCTACCTACCACACACACACACACACACACACACACACACACACACACACACACAATTATCGATATTCCGGCGCCTCTGCTTGTTTTAATAGGTTAAATGTGTTTACTTGGTTAAATTCATACTTCTTTCGGATCTTGTCCAAGGAGATTCCGTTTTCCATATATTCAATTCATACCTCCTATGCTCTAAGCAGATTTCTAATTAACTATCTTGAATTTCTTCAAAATCAAATCAAACTTGCAAAACATGTTTGACTAAATTATTCTGGTTTACTGGTTTTCCCCAGTGCAGTTTATATGAGTTGGTAGAGCACATGACTCATCAGTATAAGCGTAAAAATCATGACCAGCCGACAATTTAGGAAAGTACAAAACAAATAACGAAAACACAAGACATCTTGAGAATACAACATCCCAGTACAGTTTATATATAGTTGGTAGAGCACATGCACTCATCAGTATAAGCATAAAAACCATGACCAGCCGACAATTTAGGAAAGTACAAAACAAATTCCGAAAAGACAAGACATCTTGAGAATACAACATGTCATATGATTCAAAACAAAACGCAGGTTGAGACTGTAAATTTTCGACTTTGTTTCAAAGTCATCTTCAGACAGAAGATGACTTTGAAATAAAGTCTTCTTCTTCAAATAAAGTCTTCATCTTCATTTTGAAATAAAGTCTTCATCTTCTTTCTGTCTGAAGATGACTTCGAAAATTTACATTCTTGAGACTGTGCGTCTTGTTTTGAATCATATATTGTATTCTCAAGATGTCTTGTCTTTTCTATTTTTGCATGTATCAGCCAAATATGGTTGCAAAGGTTATGACCTCTAATCACAAGACTGCTTTCGAAATTTGTATTTCCTGGAAGACCAGTTCTCGGGAAAAATTGAGCGTGAGCGAAAAGGGCGTGATTTGCCTGGAACTGTATTCCTAAATTCTGTTTTAAATTTGTCTGTACAGAAAGAGGTATGTTGAAGATCGTCTGAACATGTGAAGCATTTCTGGTTTGCTAAGAATATGTGACTTTATTGTGTCGTAAAGTCGAAGAATATGGCCGAGGGTTTCGACACAAATCGCTTTCAGTCCACTATAGACACGAGCTTTACCTGTCCTATCTGCTTTGGTGTTTTAAAAGATCCAATGCAATGTGAGAACAACGAACATTATTTCTGTTCTGGTTGTATCAAGAAGCATCTGGAGAAGACCTCGCATAGTTGTCCTGTCTGTCGAGAGAAACTGACGGCAGAGACACTGCGTAAGGCACCGAGACTTATTGCAGATGTCATTTCACGTTTGAAGATCAGTTGCGATCATGCAGCGAGAGGTTGTGATGCAGTTCTTGAGCTTGAGGCTTTACAAGCACACGTTCAGGACTGTGATTTCATGCCTGTCACTTGTTCGAATGACGGTTGTGATGAAGTCGTGAATAAACGCGATGTAAAGCATCATGAGCGCGAGTTGTGTCGCTTCAAGACAACGACCTGTGACGACTGTAGGGAAAGGAT